GAGGACCCCTACCCTTACATACTTCAGCCAGCAGAGGAGGTTCGGTTAAGCCTCGCCCAGCCGCAAGACCTGCCGCATTTTTTCACACTAGCTAGGCTCAAAGTCAAGTCAACAGTGAAACTTCTTGAAGCAAAGCCTCAGTTGAAGCGAACTGCGCAAGGCCAGAACCAAGGCAAAGCCTGTTTCGGTTTAAGTCTCTGAGCCTAGAAGGACGCCTAGTGCTGCAAGGGCGTTGTCTGTTTCCTCTGTAGTAGCTGCGCTGTCAGCTGGTCTAAAAAGCAAAGATGCTACTGCGCCCTGGGTAATGGCAAGCAACACTGGCAGAGCCATCGCGTTCCCAGCTAAGTCAGTCATCAGCCCCTCCGTCAACCACTTTCTGGACTGAGTAGACCGCTTGCTTGATTTGCCCTTTCTTGCGGGCTGATGAATGTCAATGTCTTCGTCAGCCACCTGTTTCAAGAAGGGCTCAACTGGAAAGCCTTGAAAGATTAGCGCCTCTCTACCTAGCATAATTCTTGGTGGTTTTGCCACTTCAACAAAGAGAATCTTTGTACTTGGCCCAAGGCCTGGTGGCAAGCATATCCTCTGCCTCACCTGGGTCCTGTGCCAGTGGGTTTGGGTCTGCGCTTTTGGCAGAACACAGACAGCATTGACAAGGTTTGCTGTGAGCCACCGATATGGGCCACTTGGCACCAGCAGAGCTAGTACAGCCTAGGTCGCTCGGCGCCGTCTGGTCTGCCTGGTCATCTTCGCTGCCGGAGGCCATCGCAAGGCAACGCTGCGCGCAACCCAACTTTCTTGGACTTTGAACAGTCACTGCAGCACAGGTGCTCCAATGAACAACATTGAATTGAATCGAATTGTGACAAATCAGCAAACAATTGTTGGAATTTCTCGGGAAATGTCGAAACATTTGGGGAAACAATTGCCAACACTTTTCTCTACAAATGGTTTGTAGAGATTTCATATATATACATATTCCCAGATAATGTTTCTTTATATATCTATATGATAGAAAAACTGTTCTCTACAAATCATTTGTAGAGATTTTGACGGCGATAGTTTTGGACAATTGTTGTAAAATAAAATAGAAAATTAATAGATATGGTAATTCTAACTAAAAATATTGACTGTCATAGTCGGTACCACTGGCTCATGCCTAAGACAAAAGGTCAACCTCAACACATTCCAGTCAAAACAACTTTGCCTGACACTGATTGCTTCAGCTAGCCGAGCGCAAACCTCAAAGCAGCCGTTTTTTTTTAATGCCTAAGCACTATTCTGATTCTCCAGAGCTGAAATCTACTGAGCGAAGCCCCCCCCCATTGATAGATGCAATGATCGCTCTTGGCCTGCTGGCCAATTCTTGTCATCCAACCCTGCCATCAGCCAACGTTTGAGACGAACCCTGCACTCTTCCTCAGGTAAGTCGCCTGTGGTCAACGCTTTTCTGCACGAGGTTCCTGGCACATCGTCGGAGTTCTGGTGCAACCCACAGATTGCGCCATAACCAGTTCGCACGCCTTGGGTGTAAATGGGCGCTAGATAAAATGCACCCCAAGACTCACCTCTGCGTTGGCGATTTGCTGTGGCAGAGGTCACCTCTGCAGGATTCGAAGCGGGGCCTGGGGCAAAGGATGCTCAGATGCGCCGCTTTGTTTTGCCCTGCTGGCTGCAAAGCTGGAAGGGTCAAAGTGATCCGCCATTTCCAACCTTGAAAATGCGCTTGTTGGTTTGACCTGATCAACTTCATCATCACTATTTTGACTGTTGTCAGATCCATGTTCGGAACCAGGGTCCAACCCAAGAAGTTGCCTTTCCACTTGCAGACCTGTTGCTTTGGATCGCTTGCAAGCCAGGAGGCTCTGCGTCCATGATCACCAGGTTTTCAGACAAGACTTTTTCAACTGCTTTTGTGAGGTCTTGCAGAAACTTCCCTCGGCGGGTGCTCTTGGACACGCAAAATGAACCTGGCAATATGCCTAGATGTTTGGTTGCCCTTTCAATGACATTTCCATTTCGATGCTGGGCGCACAGGCTGGGAAATATGAAGGAGTTCTGCGGCATCACTGCATGCAAGTGTTTGAGCAGCCGTATGTTGGCTGCGTGCTGGTCACACGACACCAGCACAGCAGAGAACTTTGCTGGAGACCCAATGAAACCAGGCCCAAGGGTGCCTTGGTCCAGGCACAGCGCGCCCCACATGCACTCAGCCGTTTTACGAGCTAGAGCCCTTGGCGGCCTTGCTATGTCAATCTCCACATTCTGGCCTGCAGCACAGATGCTAAGTTGGCTGTGACTTGCCAAGACTGACCAGCTTGCAGACCCAACTTGTTTCAAAGAAACATCCAGCTCTGTCTCGTCGAACATCAGGTTCACTATGTGATACAGCAGCAAACCTCTTTCACGCAGCCGGTTTATCTCTGATTGGATATGCTTGGCTTGACAATCAAGGAGGCACTTGCCAATGAACATGCGGGCTTTGATCACATGGGCAGCACTTGCCCCATCAACTTCCCTTGCTGCTTGCCTTACTGTTGCAGTAGCCTCGCCAAAGGCGGCCCTCAAAATAGCCTCAGGCGTCCACTGCTTCCAAGCGCCTCGACCTTTTGGTTTGGGCCTGGCTTCATCAGCAGGCTGCAAAGGAAGCAAATGATCTAGGGTTCTATGGCGCCCTGACGCATTGGACGCTTGAGCCTGCAGCCTGAACGTGTCTGCCCTGTGCTCTTTTCTTTTTTTTCCTCAAGAAACTGACCCGGCTTCTCCTTGCATTCATCCGCCTAGCTCTTGCCCTGAAAGCATTGGCCAAGCCACGGCCGCCACGCCTCAGGCAAACACAACGCCCAAGGCGGCCACCAACTCCAACACCACGCCCAAGGCGGCCACGTCCACCAGCACCAGGTCTAAGACCGGCCCTAGCAGGCTGCTGGCCACCAAGCGCAATCCCTGCCAAATCATGTAAGCTCAGCATCGCCCCCACCCATTCAGCATGGAAGCGAAACTCTTTCGCCAATTGTGGGGGCCATCTTGAACCAAAGGATTGATGGAGGAAAGTGAACCAGATATTATCACAACATGTGAAAAGGCTAAGGATGGAGGCAGCTATCGATGTGATGCATGTTTTTTGTTGCTGTTATATAGCAGCCCCAGCCATCGATGTGATGCATGTTAAACCGACCATTACTAACTTGCATGTTCAGTATGTTCAAAAGGTTTGCTTGCGAACAAACATGTTGAACATAAGCAACAATTTCAAAAACAATTGCGCAGCAATTGTTGCTAATATTCAACAATTCCAAAGCAATTGCAAAACCATTGTTGCAAATATTCAACAAATTCAAAACAATTGCAAAACAATTGATTGAAATATTGAACAATTGTTGAAACAATTGTTGAATATATTGAACATATGTTGAAACAATTGCTTTAAATATTCCAACAGTTGCAAAACAATTACCCAAACAATTGAACAATTGCAAAACAATTGAAAACAAATGTTCAAACAATTGCCGGTGACTATTTCGGAGCCCCTTGTAACCCTTCACCAGAGGCTTCTTAAAAACAATCAAGATTAGATCCCATGTAAAAGAAATACTCCTGCGCACAAGCTCTGAACCAGGCTTCTCCAAAGGCACAGCTCCAGGGATGTGCACGAAGCCATCTTCCTTCAGGCGGCGCTGCAACTCGGCATCGCAACGCCGGAGCGCCTCCTGGCGGTCGGCAGGGTCCAGTCGGCGCTCCGTGGGGGGAAGCGAATTCGGGCGGCGCCTGGCCAAAACACTAAAGACTCTGCACGGAAATCAAATGAGATCCGCACTCCATTCTCCCTATCCAATTGAGTTGGATTCTTTCAGGCTCATGTCTCTCTGATTTCAGATTTCGTGGCCTCTTTTGAACAACTCCCCCTCAGCCTTTTGGAGGGCCATCTTCGCGTCAGCTGCAGCCTGCTGCTGAGCTTTCAGCGCCTCCAAGTTCGCTCGCATCTCCTAAGGTGGTGAAACTGATGTGCCCACGGGATGGGGAATTTCTTCACTTGTCATCCCAAAAGCACTGCACCTTGAAAAATACAGGGGGGGGGCCCTGAAGGCCATGTGAGCTTCCCTTTTCTTTATATGCGACCTGTGAGAGCTACGTGGGTGCAGCCCCCAACTTGGATGTCTCAAACAGCATCAAACAGCTCCCATTCGGGATCTTTACCTTGCCTGCGCAGCTCACGAGTGCAGAGAATCAATTGAGGAATTCAACCTGTTGCTTTTGTGCGATTGGTATGTTTGGAAGAGATGCTTGGGGTCGGATGTGGTTGCCCTTTTCCAACTCAATGAGATCTGCAGGGTCCTTGGCCCACTCTCTTCCAAGTTTCTTCCTCCGTCTCACAGACCAGCTGCAGTGGGTCGCCACCTCTGGAGAGAAATGCTGAGACCGACTGCCAGGACCCCAAAGGTGATTTAGAAAACCACTCGACATCCAGGGGCTGATAGTAGATGTGTATAGATTCAATCATATTTGACCTGTGTAACGCTGTCTGTTGAGGTGAAATACCGGGGCGGTTGATCTTTTCACTCACAACAACAAGACATCTCAAGATCTCTCGGGGCAGGTGGGAGACCCAAAGGGATCCTCTGCATCAGGATTGGCAAGTCAACAGGTACAAATGGCAAATCTGCAGCAAAACAAAGAACACCTGCGGGTCCTTGCGTCTTGTTTTGCTACACTCCAATTTCTCCAAATTGTTGACAGCTTCGCGATCCCAATCCTGCTGACAGCTCCAGCAAATCCAAACAAAACATGGCAACATCAAAGGCTTTATTCCCAGAGGAGTGACACGTTCGGCTCCAGGCGCGTCAAAAGCCTCAAACGAGAGCAGAACTGATTAGTGTTGATCATGTCCACATCAGGGTCGTCAATCCACGTGTCCGAGAACAAAACAACTCCCCCCCTTTATAGAAAGGTATACCAGGTATACCATGGTATACCAAGTTTATCCAAGCTTCCACTTGGAACTCATCTTCACTTGTAGACTCCTTACCCCGGCCGACTCGCGCCCGTCGACACCCTGGACTTCGCATCTTCGTCGTTGGTCAAAGCACGTTTCACCAGCACGATCTCCGCCGTGCCTTGCTTGGCACCTGGCACCAGCACTTTGGAGTTGAATGAAGGTGAGCCGGACACGCTTACAGGCTCTGTGTAAGAACATTAAAGTTGATATATATATATATATAATATGTGGATATCATGCACATTTGCGGAAGAAACCACTGCAATTTACCACCGCAATTCCGTTGTCTCGTAATGGTATGGGCGTTGACTACCACCAATTCACACTCAGTGACCGCCGTCCCGTGCCTAGAACCAAATGGCGACCATAGGGCGATAGAGTTCGATCCTGGAGGGATGTTTGATGTGAAACGGGGCTTTTTTCATGCAGTCTTTAGACTAGGTTAAGACTAGGTCACGGTATGTGGAAAGCACCCTGTTGACCTCTCTTGTAGGGCAATATGACCAATTGCTAGTTCAATCCACAAGAACTATATATACGTAACTCTCATTCTTGAGTTCCAAAGCCACAAAGCCAGCAATGCAGGGTTTCTGCTTTGGATGCCTGGCATACATACGTACTCCAGCAGTATTCAGCTGCGAGTGACCAGGGCTTACATATATCTGGTGATTGCGCAGTGCCTGCGTGGTCGTTGGAAGGTGACTTATCCCACTTGCGCCGCTCATTCACTGAGTTGGCTCCATTTGCATGTGTCCTTCCCCTCAAACGAGGCTACAACATGGATTCTTTATTCAGCCTTTGACTTTGTATTACCCAAACGGCTTTGCTGGACCTCACCAAAAAAGGACCTGAGGCCAATGAGGTGGGTGCCACCAGGTATCACCAAAAGGTCTGTTGGAAAAAAGGAGAGTGCTCCTCCACTCCAACTACAGTACAGGGTTGCTGGTACTTCAAATTACTTCTAAACTGGATATGGTTCAAAACCTCAGAAGTCAAGCCCTCGTAGTCAGTCTCCATCGATGGCATCAGGGCGCAAGGACGGGATGGTTTTCCAAACCCGTGATTCTATCAGTGGGTTGTTGAGAAGGGACGACAGTTTTGATACATGGCCATGCAAAGGGGTTTAGAGATTGCAAGATGGTTTTCAATCCTTTGGTAGACAGGTCATGTAGCCAGCAGCTGTAGCTGGGGCTGGATGGCGACCCTGAGACACCGCTACCGTGCAAAGTTCGTTCACCTGCGCCACGCTAAGGAGGCCAAGCATCCGAATTCATGGTAAACTTCAGGGCATTGGCTCTCACTCCCAGGTGGTTCCACAAGGAGGTCCCATTGCCCACTTCGTATTTGCGATGATTCACCTTTGAGGTGGGTGTGTTGACTGTCCAAGGGGGTCACTCTGCTGTGTCAATTGAACACCACTTTATCACTTGACTTGCCCTAAGGCTGTAGTGATGGATAGCCAAAAAATCCGTTGGTATATGCATTTGGGATATCCCCGACCGGATAACGAGTGTCTACCAAGAACGGCCACGCAACTTAACTGCAGTGGGCCAATCCCCGCAAACTCCAGAAGATGTAGTTACTGGATTGGGTTGTGTACACATTCATCTATTAGAACGATATTACTCACAACATCTGACATTTTTCCACAAACTGCCCCACATTTGGAAACACTGACTCCCAAATCCCTACGTGCTCTAGCACCTCGTAACAGGAATAATTCTTTTGGAACCGAGGCTCGTTGCTGAACTGCACAACTATCACGAGGTTTTTCAGGGCTTGACTGTTATCTCGGATTCCTTGCCAAGTCGAATTCTTGCAACAAATATGAGTGTGTGTGTTCACACCTGTACCAAAGGACACCTCTCCGCGCAAGATAATTCGAGCTCTGAAGTATTTCCAATATTTTTCATCTAGAGGCAGGGGGATGCCGGGGATTTCCATGGTCGGCATCCAAAGAAGACACCATGGATTTCCTGTGAAATGAGTCAGGGACGCTTGACTCACGTACCTGCAGATGTGTCCTTAGTGAAGTGGTTTAAACCATATATTGAGGCTGACCTTCTCACCTTTCTATTCTGCACATGGCCGTTGACAGGTTCAGGTTCCAGCAGTCTAGATCGGTATTGTATTCACTAGAGTGGATTGCCTTAACTGATTTAGCTCTTGCGAGCATCAATCTAAGTGTGTGTTCGTGTATGTGTATGTCCTTTTTTGTGCCAAAGAAAAAGGATGATTAATCTCCCCGGAATGACCAAGACATTTGAGACCGGAAACTTCCAGTGCCAAATCTTGATCATCGAACTTGCGGATCGCCATGGCGTCTTCCGGTATGCCATCAAAGGACACTAACCTCGGCCGGCACAAAGATTTGATAGATCAAGCCTCCCGAGAGTATCGCAAAGAGGTCATCGTATCACACTCCCTCAAAAGCTTGGGTTCTGAAAACTGGTCTCCTCTACGAGTGTTCAACTGAACCAGCGACATTGTGGAACGGTTCAATCCGGAACCGAGTGTGGAACATCGAGTTGTGTGGTTTGGTCCTCGGTTCTTGAAACGAGTTGTGTGAAACATCCCTGTGGAACATGTTCGTATCGACAAGCCTAGTACGTGTGCCCTTCACGTCTCCTTATAGGTAAGCCGGTAAGCCTTTGGGGCAGTCTCCGTACAGTACTCCCGTAGAAGCCCTGCATCTCTTCAAGCCCGCTGCAGCGATGTGGAATTTCTGGAGAACGGATTCCAAATGGAACTCTGCTTGACGCTACCCGATTCAATTGGAACTTCATAACATACCATATATATATATACCTTGTGCCTCCAAACACGACAAAAACGTAGGGTTCATCCCAAACACGAGGTTCTTGGAGGAAACACGAGGTTTCCCATTTTTGTGTTTTTTTTCCGCCCATGCCATCTTCGAAGGCCGGGCCACAGGAACTTGAATTCAAACTCCAAAAGCCCAGGTTGATGATCAGAACGAAAAAAATCTCAACAAAAATGCAACTATTGTACCCCCTAAAAACCGTGAAAAAAGCACGGGTTGTCACGGTATAATCACGGGTTTGTCACGGGTTTGGGAAACACAATGTTTTTTCTGAAAACCCGAGGTTCTTCATCCAAAATCATGGGTTGACACGGGATAATCACGGGCTTGACACGGGTTTGTCACTGGTTATCGGAGCTCTCAATTACGGACCCGAACTTTTCATGACAAGAGTGTTGAATGTTTTGAACATATTGTTAAACATGTTTTGACCACGGAAAATTCGATAAGTCGGCGGGAGAAAATGAATATGGAGCACCTGCACACATGGCTATCGAGGGTTTTGGGGCAAAACACGAGGATTTGGCTAAAAACCCGAGGTTTTCCCTTATGTCACGGCTAAACCCGAGGTTTGTTTTCAAACCCGACAAATTTGTAGGGTTCAGATGCTCAGGGTATATACATATGGTGAGCCAACTCCTCCTGGACAAAACCCCCAACAATCAAAAATCATCAAACATAATCAAAAAATCCAAATACCTCCTTCCCAGTGTCAGTCAGTCTGTCTGACACCTAGCGACCGCCGGACCCCACACTGGAGGCGCCGGTCAAAGCGACCGCCGTTGGATCACGACCGTTGAGAACCGGATCGATGCCACGGAGCAGGGCTGACTTGGAGAAACCCAAGCCAATCTGATGCCCTCGCGCTTCCTGACAGTGCTTCGACAGGGGACTCTCTCTGGGAGTGAGAGAAACCCTCCAGGATAGAGCGTGGTGGTTCAAATTGTTCCAGATTCATTTGGGATATACCTTGGAAAATGAACATGGAACCTGAACATGGACCTTTGGAAGACTAGCTTTCTCCACAAACCAGTGGTGTTCAAGTTTCATGGTTTCATGCGAATTTTCCAGGGCAGGGCATACCCCTTTTATTCTGAACCATACGTGTCTGGAAACACTCCAAATAAGGGGTTTAACAAACAACAAAAAACCTTTGATAAAACGGCCTTCGGATGCCCCTTTCGGTCCCCACGAAAATACGCGGGTCGCCCCGCCGGTCGTCTTGGCCGGGTCTTGTCTTGAAGGACTGTAGCACTGTAGCTGGTCAAAGGTCTGGTGAACTTGGTAGGAGAAAACGTCACATGTTTATCCCGAAAATGATCAAATTAGTAATTAAACATATACCTCTACAACTTCAGTGCGCGAGTTCGCCCAAGTCCACACAGTTCATCAAACGTGCCCCGCTAGGACAAAACAATTGACGCAAAGTTTGAAAGAACGTAGAGGACCTAGAGTAGTGAACAACATATGTCGTTTACAAACGCTGTGTGCAGGGTCAAACATTGAAGAAGCAAATTGGCTGACCCTGGCCCCACCAAGAAAGTCTGTCAGCATGACCCTGCAGAAGCGGTTCAGATATTGAGGCATAATCATTTCTAGCTCCGGAGTGTTTAGGTATCTTGACTGCAATGATTTAGTTTCCAGATTCCAAATTGAAGGGGCGTAGAAAAGGAACACCGCCCACCATTCCATTCCTGGAAGGACTTCTTGGTTGCAACATTTGGGGCATCCCAAGTAGACCGACCGACCGAAGGCGCCAAGCATCTGGTTTCGGAGAATAGCCTGAACCTCTTAGAACGAAGGCTTTCATTCCAGGACCCATCCATTCGCACTTTGGCGAGACGAATCTGAGCATCCTCTCCGCCCTGTCGGCAGGTGTCAACACGACGGTACTTGCATGGTCATGATTGACACATCCCTGACACGTGAATTTGTGCTAGCTGCCTAAGCGAAAGGATAATACTATTGGAATCCTTGAATAAATATATATATATATATACGTATATGTCATGGCAACATATGGCAACACC